TTCCTTTCAAGGCCTGCAGATATTTACTTGCTCATTGTGTTGATATTGTTCTGATACTTTTGTATAAAAATACTTTATATATTTTTAGGTTAACATCAAATTTTTTTAACCTGAGAAGCCTGGTCTTTATCAAATGTATTTGTTTATGAGTGATGATTTTCTTTAGATTACAATTCCTCCCATTCTAAAAGAGATTTAATTTCATTTGGGAACTCCAACTGGCACTGACAAATATACTAAAATGCAGAAAGAAAATATAAGGAATAAAGACAAATGTTTTGAAAATGGAGAAATTTTGGAAAAGTTGATGGAAATTACATCTTTGTGGATTGTAGGAGGAAGGGAAAAAGGTTGCTGGGGGAAGTAAAATCAACAGAATTTTGTATGCCTATTTCCCCCAAGCCTAGCAAACTACACCATTGGAAACATAACACAATCCTGAAGATGACGCACTAGTATTACAAACCTTAGGGTAACACAAACCGAGGTTTTTCATCAAGACACAGCAAATTCTAAAATTACAGGAATGTGTTTACTAAGAGAAGAAGCAGAATCATTTGAAAAATAGAAATTTGTTCCACATCAAGCTGATGAGGAACAAAAAAAGAGTTCTAAAGCACTACAGTTCAGAATTTGCTAAGCAGTACCTTTAATTGAAAAGGGAGGTGCTCTTACAGGTTGGACTTTAACATAGAAGGCATCCTGGTAAGGAGTCTTATTCCATGTTAGTCTTTTACTGAATTGGCAAGCCCTTCTTCTTTCTTTCTTTTTTCTTTCTCACTTTCACGTTTTCCTTTCTTTTCATTCTTTCTTCCTTCCCTCTTCTTTTCATCTAGATTGATTTTGTTATTCTGTAGACAAGTCTCTAAAACTTCTGAGCTCAAGTGATACTTGCACTTTAGCCTCTGGAGGAACAAAGGACAAGCAGGGGTCCTTACAACCAGCTCAGAAAATCAGTTTCCCAGAGCCTATGTGAGACCCTGAAAACCTCTGCAGTGAAGCGCAATATTGTTTTGGATCCTTAAAATTAACACAAAATGCAAAGAATATGAAACCCTGTTGAAAAGTTGAAAAACAAGTAGCATAATAAAAGCCAATTCCACCCAAAAGAACAATGTATTGGAGTTTGCAGACAAGAAATTTTCAAATCAACATAATTTATAAATATAAGATGTTAAAGGAAATTTGCAAAATAGATATTGAAACTGAAGAAATTCCTCATAGAATCAAATTTAAATTCTAGTTGTCAAAAAAGTGTAAAATTTACTACTTAAGAGTTCAATAAACTTAGCTGAGTTATTAAACTGAAACCTACATTGATAATATATACTGCATTGAAACAAAAATAAGAATAATTGCAACATAAAATACTTAAGAAGACATATGATATGAATGATATATCAGAGCTCATAAAATGACAAACATATATATAAGTATAAGTCAGTAGAAGAAAAAAAAATCCAACATTTTTTAGCAAAAAATATTGTATAGTTTTTAAAAATTGGTAAAAGCCAAATTTACAAATTTTAAAAGTTATTCACTACCAAGAAGGGTAATACCAATTAAAGCACATCCTAGCTCATTAGCTCATAATTAAGTTTAAAGCCAAAATATTAATTTAGGTAGACAAAAATAAAAACAAAGAGAAACAGTAAGGCTGACATTAGTACTCCTTTACAGAAAAAAAAAGACAGCTAGAAGAAATTTAATGATACCTATAAAACTTTTGATGAAACACCGTTAGTATAGAAATTCATGCAATCATAATTGCCTTAGAATAAAATAAAAATCATGTTAATAGAATATCAAATATTTTATTATAAGTAAAGAAAATAAAAACAATAGTTACAAGAAAATAGTGATAAATGCATTTATCTATTATTCATATTAAGAAATTAATTCATTTAGAAAAAACAGAAAAATATGGACACATGAAAATGTAGATTAATTAAAATAAAGACAAAATAAAGACAAATATTAATTTGCACACGTGGCAATAGTTCTTGTTTTTATAAGCAGAAAAAATATACAGCAAAGACTGTCATAAAATACTGTGCACAAAATATATAGTTCTGACACCTAGCTTACTAGGAAAGAGTAAAGAATAACATACATTGAAACAGTAAATCTGGAAAAAGTAAATCAGTAAAACTGGAAAAGTCAGAATATTTAAAAGTTGAGTGGGATAGCAATACTAGTTATATCTTTGCATGCAACCAATGAAAATGTTCTTACAGATGAGTGACAAAAATACAAATATGGTAGTGCAAGAATAAAATGGCAATATCTTGGATTTTTCAGGCCTTACTGTCTGTGTCTCAACAGTGAACAACAAATGGATGTGAATATTTTCCTATAAAAATTATTTTATGAAATGAACAATGGACAAGAGTTTGTGTAAAGTTCAAATAGGATAATATTCAGTGGGATTATTCTATTTGTTTTTTGCTTTGTTTTACTTTGTTTTTGAGTAGGAAAAAATTATTGAGAGAAAGGTAGCTTCTATCTAAGAGTCAGAAGGGTGACTGGAAAGTGAGTTGCCCAATCACCATACTTCATAAAGGTGTTGTATGGGACAAAGCCATAAGGCGGGATCAAAGTGGGACAAAACTATAGTCAACTAGTAAAATTACAAGTGCAGTCACTTAGTTAATATTGATCCAATGAGAAATCACGATGGGGACAAAACTATGAACAACCAATGAGATTATGACAAGTATAGGTATCACTTAGGTAATATTGATTAAATGGGGATCCATTGGCAGAGCAAGTCATGTAACAAGCATACAAGGAATGAGCAAGGATTTTCGATGGTAAGGGATGGCTCAGGGATCTTTCTCGGAAGATCTTGGTCACCCACCCAGATGATTGATACCTATTTAGAATATTGATAACTGATAGTCATCCTACACGGGTGTGATAGTTTTTCTCCTTTTACATTGCAGGCCTTAAGTGAATGTGTCTTGCTTGTCCTCCGTGTTACCTCCTTGACTGTCCTCCATGTTGACTTCTCATGAGTTTGCCCTGTCTAACTGCCTACAAGACTTCTAATTAACTTACCTATCTGTAATATTCGCTCCTCTGTAAGTAGTACCCCTAACTGCTGTGAGGAGTCAAAGGGCAAAGACCATTATGGCTCCTTGGGGCTGAAGAGGGTCATAGTTGTGATCAGCAGTCAGAGTTATTTACAGAAGGTCTATCTAAAGGCCCTGGATAGGCATCAGGCATTGTCATCTTGGGTAGACATATAATAACTTTGAGTCTGGAGGCGACAGAACCAAAGAAGCAGTCAAAAATACATGGGCCAAATAATAAGGTCACCAGGATTGCTATGAATATAGCCAACAAGTGTTTCCACCAGGAGGAACTAGTAATAGTGTCCCACAAGGATGAGAAGCAGAAGGCCCAGAGGCCTAGAGAATCCAAAATAGAAGTCGTTTAGCAGTTATGAGCTATTTACAAGGTCAATCTAGTGGATCCTGGTAAAGGAAGTGTAGCACATTTGTCTTTGGTTCCACTTGTATGACTGCTTGGAGTTTGGCAACCTCTGTTTGCTCTTAAGTCTGATATTTTGTCCTAAGTCTCTCCAGTTTTACCATTCTGGAAGCTTCTTCTTGAAATCCAAAGCCACAGAGGAGGGATGTGCCTTGAACCAAACACTGCTGAAAACTGCATTATTTCTCAGGGGCAGGACAATGGAGAAGGGACAGAAGAGTGTCAGTAAGTATGGCACAAGAGCTAAATCTTAACCTTCTCAGGTGTAGAAGGATAATTAAGATCAAGAGATTTTCCAGAATGGATCTGCAATCCTTAGCAAAACATGTCTCTGACCACTAATCTAAGTGGAAGGCCTCCAAAATGATAGAAGGGAAAGAGATGTAGCTCCCAAACTTGCTAAGTATCTAAAATGAAAGTTCATGTTCTCTAAAATCAAATAATGAATTCTAGGAATACAGGAGGTTAAAAGTAGGAAAAATTTGTTGAGAGAAAGATAGTTTCTTTCTAAGAGAGACAGAAGGGGGACTGGAAAGTGGGTTGCCCCAGAATTATGCTTTCCTTACTCATTTTAATGCAAAATTATAATCCCTTCCCTTTCAGTGTGGCTATGAAGGTCACTTGTTCTGAGATAATTATAGAAAAAGTATTTTTCTATACCCTTGCATTTGGTATTGGCTATGATCAAAGGAAAAGAGTGATTTAAGCAAAGTAAGGATTGCAGGTAGAGCATTGACCTTAACCATGTTGTGTTTCACAATTATATCTACAGTATGTTTACAGGAAATGACAAAGACAATCATAAAGCATATAGAGTTACTCTCCACAAAAGGGTCACTTCATTTCTGGAATGTTTGAAATCATTTACCCAGGAATAATTTCAGATTACATGTCCACTTTTATCATACATGGTAATAACTATGCCTGAAGTTAGCAATGACAGCTGGTAACTAACTCTCTTGTCATGAAAAAGAGTCAAGATTTAAGTTGCTGCTAATACCACATATCAAGAAAGGACTGAATAGGAAGAAAGAGAAAAAGAATGAAGGAAGGAGAGACAGAAAGGAAAAAGAAAATGAGAGCGGGGGCAGGGAGGGAGGGAAAGAAGTTCCTGTGGAATAACGAATTAAAACAAAAAGAAAAGAAAAGAAAATTGTGGCACCTCTTTTCATCCTCTGCGCATAACATATAACCGGGTCATATTTCACAACTAACTATATATAGAATGAACTACAGTCAACCACACAAGAGACTAATTTTAGACTCGAAATTGGATCATGAATTCCTAAGATTGCAGCAAAATTGTCAGTTACGAGAGCCTTGTTTTCTTAATGAAGGCATGAATGATATTTGAACCACATCAGTGAGATAATATGACACTGCATTTCCTGTGGTTTCCCCCCTCATACCACCAAAGAGGTATAAAAGGCTCTTGGCAGACAGTGACATCCAGACACAAGAAACCTACTGTCTGATCCTCAACAGAACAGTGAATTCCTGACATCATGAGCTACTATGGCAACTACTACAATGGCCTGGGCTATGGCTACGGTGGCCTAGGCTGTGGCTATGGCTATGGTGGCTATGGCAGCTATGGCGGCTATGGCAGCTATGGTTATGGCTGCCGCCATCCCCTGTGCTGTAGAAGATACTGGTCCTATGGCTTCTACTGAGGAATTTCTACAGCTTATTAGTCTACTGTCTATACCCACCTGGTTTACAGGAATTATCTCCAGTTTTCTCAAATGAAAAAAAAAAATGTCTTCAAATACCAACTATGTGCCAAATCACACAAAAACACAAAAATACAACACACCATTTGATTCACTCCTATCCTTTGGATAATGCAATAGTTTATATAATATTTTCTGTATTGTTTTTATAATGCTCTGTAATATATAATCAAATTTATTCTCAACTTTTGTGTAAACAGATGCATCATTAAATAAACTATAATTTCTCATAAATATCACTTTGTTACTGTTCTTTATTAGGAGTGTTGCTTATGTTTTCCTGTATTTGTGTGTCATTAATCACGTTTGTTTTTGTTGATTTGAGGTAAATAAAGAGATAAGATGAAAAGAGAAAAAAAATGCAGGAGTGTTGGGGGTGGGAGGAAGTGAGGTGGGAACTCTTTTCTCACTACTAGAGTTTTAAACTGAATGGGTAAAAACTCCAGTTCTTTCTCACAAATCACACAGGGTCTTTTTATATGTGTGGTAATCTCAAGTATCATTTTTTGTACATATGTTCTTCATCAATATTCCTAACTATTTCTTTGTTCATTAATATCTGCATTCACACTACGTCATTTAAAATTGTATTTCTCTGATTGGTACAAAGGAGCCCCATGCCATGTGTACACAAATGGAGGTGAATGCTTTTGTAGAAGATATTATTTACCAAAACAAGTAATGCAAAAGAGTACTTATAACCCTAAGTCAGGATATAGTACAGCAAGTTATTCCTTCTTTCACCATGAATGCAGGATTATATGTTGGTTATTCCCTGATTATATGATATCAGCTGTACTGTTCTCACTGTGGACAGGATGTATATGCATACCACTTGCTTTGGGGCATTAACCAGCATTTTCAAAGGAAAGCCCTAACTTAAAAACTAAGGTAAAGGGGGAAAATGAGAACTAAGACCTGTCATGCAAAGGTACAAGACCCCAATAATGAATGAAACTGTACTGTATAACTAAAATGTACCAATAAACTCAATTTTTAAAAAAGCTAAGGTTTGTTAGGGTTGAGATGGAGCATCAAACTTTATGATGGTATGTTTCACAATTACAAGTATAATATGCTTATATTGGTGCAAAGAGAAACACAAAACATAGAATTTCTCTCTGCAAAATGGTCACTTATTGTCTGCAAAGTTTAAAGTCGTTTATCACAGAATAAAGTTAGAAAACTGTGCACTCTATATACGCCTGATATGAACTAGCAAATAATGGTACCAGTGATAACCAATATCTTGCTCAGCTGTCCTGAACAAAGGTCAAGAAAGAACTTGTTACTAAGCAAGGGTAAAGAAATTAGTTCTTACTGGCAAGGTTTTCAAGGAGAAGAGAGGAGGACAGAACCAAAGAAGGAAAAAGAGGAAGATACTAAAAAGGGGAAGCAAGGAAGAAGTGAAGGAAGGAAGGAGACAGACAGGGAGTAATGAATATATCTCTGTGGAGAAATTCAAGCAACACAAAGCAAACATAAAAGTGTGATATACATTTTCACAATTTGCACCATAACATGTAACTGGTCAATGCGTGTGTACACAATTTACTTTTTTTCCCATCATTGAGTTTATTGGTACATTTTAGGTATGCAATACAGTTATGTTCATTATTGGGATCTTGTACCTTTACATGACAGGTCTTGGTTCTCATTTTTTCCCCTTGTCCCTGCCCTCTCTTCACTCCCTCCTCCCCTCCCCATTTACAAACACTTTATTTCCATTTTTTCATTTTCTCATACTTTTTTTCTTTCCCTTATTCCCTTTCCCCTACCCATCCCACTTGCCCTACACCTTTAGCCCCTTTCTTCCTATTTCACAGGGTCAATTATCTCATTAGGATCTTATGTACTATTATAGTTTATTCACACTGTACACAATTTACTAAATATGGAATGAAGAGAGCCACAAAAATGGAACAAGAGTTTCATTTTGGAGGACTGTAATTGGTGATGGATATCTGACATAGGAGAAAAATCACCTTGGTTATGAAAGCTTTGTTTCCTCCATGTAAGGTCATATTCATGACTTTGACCACATTAGTGAGGGAATACAATGCTGTACTTCCTGTGGTTTCCCCCACCCATCATCAAAGAGGTAGAGATGGCCCTTGGCTGACAGTGACACCCAGATTCAAGACACCTACTTCCAGTCCTCAAGAGAACAGTCCACTCCTAACACTATGGGCTACCAAGGCAAATACTGCAGTGGCCTGGGCATTACTGTTATCTGTTATCATCCTAATGTAAAATAGTATCTTGTTGTTTTTTGTTTTTCAGTATTGGGGATCGAACTCTGGACCTTGCACTTATGAGGCAGGCGCAGTGCCACTGAGCTAAACCCCAAGCCCTATAAAATAGTAAACTGCACATTCTTATTTCTCTTATCTATGCTCCACAGCCTCTGCAAAGCACCCTTTCATTCTCAACTTCTATGACATTAAATTTGAAATGCAACATTATTACAGTAGTGACTGTCTTAAACACCTACATTAGTATGCCAAGAAATATGTAAAAGATTGTTCGCAACCACAGTATACCAAATTCTTAAAAATCAAAAAATACAAATGATCTGCAAGAATAAAATAGACAAATAAATTCTGGTATGCTTTCCATAGAATAAACACAAAAAGTAAAATGTATGAATCTTTAAAAAGACCAGGGAGCAAAAGATAACTCTTTGTGTGAATCCAGTTGCTTTAGATGCAAAAATAAAATGTACGATCTTAGAAATCAGAAGAGGTTTACTTAAGGTCTACCATTAAATGGAAACAGGTCTAATGCTAGGTATATTAATTTTCTGTCATGAGGACAAAATACTGACATACCAGTTTAAAAGAAGAAAGATTTATTTTTGTCTCACAGTTTCAGTCCATTGGCTCAATCATTTAGGCTCCATCTCGGACCATTGCTACAGGGGGATTATTCTCTTAATCTGTAAGTATTTAGGGTTCTTGTTATTTAAACCCTAAGAGTAATAATCTGAGTATGGGTGTGATGTCATTTTTCAATGAAATTCTGATTAAGGACGTATTTTCTCTGTGAAAATCTGTCATGTTCCACTATTAACATTTTGTGCACTTGTATGTTATTCAGTATACATGAATGAGGTTTGTTCTAAGGTCCACAGAAGTGGGAGAAGTTACCCCACAGAAAACATTCTGCAGAAAACATGATCCGATAGGTAAGGCATGTTTTCATGTGAGAACATTTGAACAAACTTCTCCTTTAAAAATATATGGTATTTATTAGTTTCAGATATCCAGAAAGGTAGCAGAAAGCAAAGAGAATTCCCACATAGTCTGTACCCCAGCTCCCTTTCTTGGCAACATTATTGTGCAACATGCGTTGTCCTTTATGAGCCCAAACTGATGCATTATCACTAACTGAAGTCTATAGTTTGCACTGTGTTGAACATTCCATGGTAATGAAATTGATGAGCTCCATAGCCACATAAAAACATAATCATAAAGAATAATTTAATTATCCTAAAATCACCCCTTGCTTCAGTTATTTATTTTTGCCCACTCTCCCAAACTCATGATTAACCTTTAACATTATTGGCTAAATAGTTGTATCATTTTCAGATGTGACATAACTAGCATCATGTGCTACATAGTCATTGCAGATTGGCTTCTTCACTGTAGTAATATGTGTTCAGGTATTTTCCATATCTTTCTTGCCTTGAGAGTTCCTTTCTTCTTGCTGCCAAAGAATATTCAATTTGCAAGATATACTAAATATTACCCTCTAGTGCCATGTAGTATATTGCGATTGGTTCCAATTGTAGCCAATTTTGTATAGCCTCTATAAACACCTGTGAACAGGTATTCTTATGGATGTTACATTTTCATCGCTTTAGTTAAACAGCACATTTGTCAAATTGCAAAGTGAAAGTATGTTTAGTTTGGTATGAAACTGCCATGGGGTCTTCCAAACAAGTTGTACCATTTTGCATTACTACCTGGAAAAAGCAAATATTCCTATTGCTCCATATATTTGTCAATATTTGGTGTTTATATTTTGGCCAAGACACTAGATGTCTAGTAGTATCTCTTTGTAACTTACAGCTTCTTTACACAATATGATGGTTAGCAACTTTTCATCTTCTCATGTATTATCTATAATTTTTGGTTGACTATTCAGATTATTGCCCATTTTAACTTTGTTATTTCACTATTTTTGAGAAAACGTCTCATTATACAGCCACATGATTTGTTTGCAGGGATCCTAATATTGTAACAAAGTAATCTTAGCTATAAAGACTTTCTTGTACCTTATTAATTAAGAAAGCCCAAAATATTTCTAAAGAAGAGTGATTAATTTCTTCCACATTTTTCTCATGATGGTTTTTGTTGCCTTACTGATTTTGCAAAATTGCAACATCCTCATACAGTAAGATTGGAAATAAAAGTTACTCAACAATGAACAGTAAGTTACATGATCCAAGCCTTAGCAAACTGTCCAACATACATCCAACACCATGCAAATATTAAAAGAATGACTTAATAAGATGGATAAAAATCCCATTCACATGTTGCATCACTAAGTGGCATGTACCAAATTAATACTATACAAACATTTGTATTTAGCAATCTCCACTATATTGATATCAGATTTAAACTTTTTGCGACTCAATGGCACTATTTGTTTTCCTATATAAAAATGGAGGTAAAAGATGATAGGAATCTGAGTCCCTCTGCAGAAGGAACAGGATGCGATGCTAATCACTGTCCCTCATGTCTGCCATTCTTCAGTGATACGAATTTATGCATTCACTTACTTATTTACAAGGTAGGGTTATAATGGCTGCCTGCAGAGCCAGGTTTGGAAGAATACAAGAGGGCCGTCTGTGTGCGGGAGAGCCCAAGGATCCATTCGAAAGACAAATACCTGGAGTTCGCTGAAGAATCCCATGTGAGTCTATAGAAGAAATC